GCTTTGCAGTTCTTGTCGTCAGCGCCTTCTGTAAACACAGGGAGGTATTAGAACGTGTGTTGTATATATAGTGTTGTTACATAAAATTACGACACTGTCAGTTATCCCCAGTTCAAATCGGAGTCAAGGGGCCTTATGACACATAAAATGTTGACACGTAATAGTTGATTGTGCTGGAGGAAATCCCTGGAATATTAAAGACAAGGAAAGAAAACGTTCCACATGACTGATGATGAATGTATAACCGTTCATTCAGTGGCGCAGCGAGGTCGGGTGTCACCCGGTGCGGCACTTAATGGTGTCACCCCCCCAGAGGCGTAGCGACCCTTCCCGGGGACAAACTTTCAAATTTTCGATTTGCACCCCCCCCCCCCTCAAATTTTCGATTTGCACCCCCCCCCCCCTTCAAACTTTCGATTTGCGCACCCCCCCCCCCTCAAGTTTTTCTCTATATATTTTGCTATTTTTTGCCTTGGTGTCACCCCCCTAAATGGTGTCACCCGGTGCGGTCCGCACCCCCCTCCCCCCCCCCCCTCGCTACGCCCCTGTGTTCATTATTAATAAAACATGCTAAAACATAAAAGCTTGTTATTGAAACGTTTTTTAATGAATTTTTTTTCAGTACTTTATTTGTTTTATTTACAACAGTTACATGACTAAAAACCATTGTCAAGTTTCAGTAGCGTACGCAGGGGGGGAGCAGGGGGAGCGGCCGCTCCCCCTCTGGCCATTTTCAGCAAAGTGGCGCCTTTTTGGAAACTTTTTAAACTCAAAGTTTTAAGCAATGATATTTGTTAAAAAAATATTTTTGGTCGTGCCGACCAAAAATATGTTTTTAACAAGATTTCTTTTAACAAGATTTCTTTTAACAAGATTTCTTTTCCTGCAGCAATTAAGCATTATTGTACTAGTCTAGTAGTGTCTACGTTTACAACACGTATTAACAGCTGCATCAGTTTGCCATTCTAAAAATAACCATTACGATGAATTGCAATGTTTAAAAAACCTCTACGGTAGTACTACTTGCAAGAGGGGTGTTAAGTTTAAGGCAACTGTATAATGTATTTGCTTACGAATAATTGAAGTAAAAAATGTTATACATAAAACTTCACACATAATTACTTTATATTTACAGTTTGAATCGTATGATTATTTTTTTTAAAATTACAATACATAAAACAAATACAACTGATGTGGCACCTCTATTTAAATTTACTTATGAGCAAACTGCGTAGTGGTGGGGAAATTTTGACAAGGTCAACAACGTTATTACGATGAAATAGTAGTATTCTTACAGTTTGGGCGATAGTGATTACGATTACAAATTATATGAAACAGTTACAACCCCCTCCCCCATGGACCCCTCTGTAAAACAAATATTGTCATAATATTTTAATACCACTGCTACTTATTTAAATTTATTTCTGTTATATATATATATATATATATATGCATGTAATATATATTTGTATAATATATATGTATGTTTCGAACAGTCATCTAAAAACTGACGCTATGTTAACTCTGAGTTGGTTATCTCCCCCCCCCCCCCACACACACACCTCACCACCACAATTGTGTAGAGCGACATTAATGTCACACCTAGGTATACACTGGGTTGGATAATTGACCTAAAGTGAACGGACAGTAGTGAATGAAGTTGAACCCAACCCCCCCCCCCCCAACCCACCCCGAACTGATCTGTTAAGTACACGTAGAAAAACGCGTAATAATGTACCAAAGTACCATGCCGCCAGTAAAACTCTGTGAATATTGTTTTTGCAATTACCAGTAAAAAGGTGTGTGATCAATACAGTGATCTAACCCACACCTATCACTATGTTAAAAAATGATCTTTAAAGAACACAAAGAAACAGTAGTTAATTAAAAATATATGATCTGAACGAAAACGCCCGTATATAGTTAAATGTAGGCTATTATTCCGAATGAATTTCTATTATATCGAAAAGCGTGCTTTTATACCAACTCTGATTTTAAAAACTTTCATTATGCTGTAACACTTTAGCATTTATGATGACGATATATTAAATTTTGATTATAGACAAAAACATTTTGTAAACACGAATAGTGTTAAACAATTTCATCATATTCTAAAGTAATTATTTATTTGTTTTGACATTTGTAATTAAATGTGTAGATATATACATATTTATATTAAGAGTGATTATTTCCCCTATTTCACTTGTCTTATTAAATAATTTTACAGGAATTATTATGTAAGAAATTTTTTTACAAGAATTACAAAACAGATTGTGTTACATTCATTGTTTTTGGTTGTAGTGTGTATATATATATATTTTTGTGTTTGTTTAGATTGATACAATTTTTGTTTTGTCTGCCTACATTGTGTTTTTTCTTATTTCTTCAGAGTGCTACTTTCAATTTATTTTACATCATAGCGAAGTAATGACATACAGCTAGTAATTATATATATATATATATATATATATATATATATATATATATATATATATATATATATATATATATATATATATATACACGTATATAGAACGTGTTAAAAATTCGGCGCCTTTTTTTGCTCTTTTCGCTCCCCCTACAACGAAAACCTGGATACGCCTCTGTCAAGTTTATAGCTAAAGTTTCAGTAAAATATTATGGGATGGCGTAGTCTAGTGGTAAAGAACTAGACTGCTGACCCGACTAAAAACCATTGCGCGCCTATTGAACGTGATGACGCGCTTTTGTCGTAGAACCCCCCCCCCCCCCTTTCGCTCCACGCCCAACACGGCCGTGATGACGCGAGTGGAGAGAACTGCCTACTAATTCGGTCCAAATTTTAATTAATTCATTACAAAATTAATTAGGAGACCAATAAGGTCACGATGCATTGTCTTCATGTCTTGACCCACGTACCAACTACGAACCGTATCTGTCAGTTAGAAGTGCCTGCAACTTCACACGGGCGTTTCGATCTAGACAGACAGACTGACGACAGACTGACTACAGAAGAGGAAGTGAGTTAAATAAAAGCTTGTAAAAAGTGTGACAGAAGCACATGGAAGGAGGTTAAATAATACATTGTAAAAAGAAAAAAAGTAATGATTTTCATATATACATAATTTTTATAAATATATATATGTATATATATATTTTTGCTGGTGGGGGGAGGGGTGAAGCATGTGTTCCAGTTCTGTCCCTGCATCCTTGTATTTTTATTGACAACGGACCATTTTAAAATGTGCAATACCGAGTTCAGCTCTATTGTTAAAACAGCAGAGACAAGCGCCGGGAAAAATAACACAATGAGGAAGTTCATTGAAGGTCTCATTGAATAAAAATATTTTGAATGACTCTAAACAGCAGGGCAGTAATGCTCTTTGTGATTGCAAGATATTTTTTTTCGAAATAGAATGGACGTTTTTTACAGCTACAAAGTGTGCATTGAGCCAAGAAACCGTAACGCAAACTAAAAATTAAGCACGAAAGCAATACCAGCACATAACTGACATTACAGATTTGATACACATAACTATTCATCTGAATATAAGGAATTCTTTATATATATATATATATATATATATATATATATATATATATATATATATATATATATATATATATATATATATATATATGTATAGATAAAGAATTCGAAACTAAAATGAAGAAATGATGCTTTATACAGTGATTGGAAAACACAACATAAAATAAATGTCATTTTTCCAATTCTAACTGACCAATTTCTCTGAAACTTTACGTGTCGGTCAAGAACCGATGCAATCTAACATCAAATGTTACTTTATTGGAAGATTTACTAAATTTGCAGAAGGAAAATTATTTTGCCAGTTCAATGTACGAATAATTTAAGCTAAATATTTTTTTTAAGTACAAAGAGGGGGTAGGGGATCACGCCGTGACGTAAATTTATTTATCCTATACATACTATATATATACATATATATATATATATATATATATATATATATATATATATATATATATATATATATATATTAGCCGTCCAGGCCAGGCCCTGCGCTAGTCTCCTGTTAAAAAACCTATCTGTAAAGGACCGTGCCTTGCGTTTTTATTAAGCCGTATGTACCAGCACCCGCATTTTCCGGGTTTAGGAAATATATTACTTTTCACATAAAATGGCTACTTGCAAGTATTTGCTTTTGTGTTTGCGTTTGCGTTTGCGTTTGTATTTGCGTTTGTATTTGTGTTTACGTTTGCTTTTGCTCTTGCGTTCTCTTTTGTGATTGTGTTTGCGTTTGTGTTTGGTTTGTGTTTCAGTTACGTTCTGTACAACATTATTAAGCTTTTAAAATTGTGTATTAAGAGAATCTTCTAGAAAAGTAATTTAAAACTTGTAACAAAAATACTTGCTTTGAAACTACCAATAAAATCATTCTTCATCCTGGGAAAATCCTAAAACATCAAACACAATTGTTATTTTTAGTAGTTTTGGTTGGCCTTTAAAGTAACAATAAAAAGGGAAGTAATACGGTTAAACTCAAATTTTAAAAACACTCTAACGTGATCTTGTGAACGTGTAAGATCTCCTCTTTACTGAGAAGCAGTAAGTTATTTTTTGTGGGTTTTTTTTAATATTAACATATAATTTTATATGTAAAAAAACAAATACTACGTGTGTTTTTTTTTATATTTTTGTTTACTTTTTTGTTTGTAAAAAGAAATATAAATAAATGCTGTATAGCATGTTCCATTGAATTAATTTTAATGATTTTTAATTAGGATTGTGTATAAGAAATTATGAGAACTATCTTTACGGTGATGTAAATTAATAACTACAAATATGAATGAGAAAAAAAAGGTCGCTTTTTTTAAAGATAAGTATAGTATAGGTAAATAAAAAAGCTACTTTATTTATAAATTACCTCTTTATTGCAATTGTTAATATCTTTTGTTCTTCAAGTTGAAGAAAGTTGTATTTTTATTTTCGTTACCATAGGTGTGTCGACATACAAAGAAAGAAAGAAGAAAATTACACAATGAACAAAAGGACAGATGGCTCCAGCAATATAAAAGCTGGCATCACAGACTCGCCGCGTGTGTTGAGAAGTATGCCTGGCATTGCTGCCGGAAGTGTGGCTGTGGCAACACCACAATACGACCATCCACATCAACTTAACACAGTGGTGAGCAAAAATGATCGAAGCACTGGTTACCAGTCCGTGTATCAAGGTTCATTTGCCAACTATGATAATGATATGGATACCATAACGATTGGGAATGTTAAAGATCAAAATCATGGAATCCCACAAGTTCCAAATCCTATTCCACAAAGGCCACTTGGCATACCGGAAGAATCAAATCATATTCCACAAAGGCCATCTGACATACCGGAAGAATCAAATCATGTTCCACAAAAGCCATCTAGCATACCGGAAGAATCAAATCATATTCCACAAAGGCCATCTAGCATACCGGAAGAATCAAATCATATTCCACAAAGGCCATCTGACATACCGGAAGAATCAAATCATATTCCACAAAGGCCATCTGGCATACCGGAAGAATCAAATCAAATTCCACAAAGGCCATCTGGGATACCGGAAGTATCAAATCATATTCCACAAAGACCAACAGGGCAACATATTCCCGGCACGTTTCAAATCACTGTTCAAAACATTTCAAAAACTTTTAACTTTGAGGTTCGTTCCACTGATTCCGTAGATGATCTCATGATGAAGATTCATGACAGAACGGGTATTCCCTCCGACCAACAGAGGCTTATGCACGTGGGAAAACAATTGACCAGCAAAATGACCCTTAGCCATTACAACATCAAGGAAGGAAGTGTAATTTTTATATTATTCAGAATGCGTGGAGCTTAGACCAGTGGCGTATGCGGGAGGGGGGGATAACCAACTCCGAATGAACATAGCGTCAGTTTTTAACTAACTATTCTAATTATACATATACAATTATACATAGATACTGATTCGGAAATATATTTAAATTTAAAAAAAATGACCCCCCCCCCCCCATTTGTTTTATTCTCTAATCATCTCGCAAAATAAAACAAGGTTTACGACAATATAGTAGATGTTGCAACGCTTTAAAATAATTTAAAATGTTTTTTTTTCAAGATCAAATTAAAAATATATTGATTAATCAAAAGACACTTTTATAAAATTGTTGGATATGTTGTTTATTTATTTATTTGCCAAATGCTGGATTATTGTTATTCTAAATGTCACATTTTTTCTTATCTTTAATAAACTTGTACTCATTGTTAGACATAAAATTATAAGCAAGATTCTATCATAGTTATGTTCTAATCTGTTATCAAAACCTAACGTGTTAAGAAACAAATATTATCTTGAAATATTTTGAAATAGTTCAGTACTATTTCAGACCTAAATTATTTGAAAATAAAATTTGTTTCTTAACATTGAAATAGGTTAAGTTTGGATATAATTTAATAAAATCTAACATCGGAATGGATTAAACTAGGATATTATAATTTAATTAGAACAAGATTTTACAATGTGGTTACGGAGAGTACGCTTACTAATTCAAAATATGTTCACTAATTGATAGGAAGGTTCCAAGCCAAGATGATAGTGCGTTTGCTAAACACTCAGGTGGCATGAGTAAGGTACCGAAGCACTCGTGAATTTTTTTTAATGTTCCCATCCAGACAGTAGACAGAGGGAAGTCTCAAAACACGTAAATGGCTCTAAATCATTGCTATATTTTGACGTTTGGTTTAGTTTTAATAATCTATTCATTTATTACTCATATGCGATTGACGCTAGAAATAAACCGGCTGATCTTTTTTATGAATCTGATTCAGAATAAGTGAATCAAGGGTTTTATGCGCCCATGCGACGCATACACATGGGCTGTGCCACCGCCACCCGTGCGCAGCGCAGTGCGCTGAAGGCCTATCCATATCTACACCGATGCGACGTATACACAAGGGAGGTTCTACCGCTCTGCTAGTCTAAATCTACAAAATCAAAGCTGATTCTGTCACGCTCTCTGTTAGCCACACCGTGAATTAAATTGTGTATTTGCAGATACGCTGTATAGGAATTTTAATTGCCAAGCTGTGTGGTCCATTCCAATCCAACAATCACACCGGAAATCTAAAGTCATCTCTATAATCGCGTTTAAAGTGACCACAAACTGACCTAGACTGGCGGCCTTCTATAACCTATACATTTTATACATTTTTTAAAGTACTTTGAGTAGTTTACAACTCTATGACGAGACACTAAAGTGATATTTTTAAGGAGATAGCTCAAGTGCCGTAAGCACCTGGAAAAATACCAAATTCTCAGGGGATGCCATTGGACATACATAATTTCTCGGTTTTATTTATTAATGGAATGTAACTGCGTACTGAGGTTAAACGTTTAATCTCCCACGTTTTGACAATACAAAAAATAAAGAAAGAAAACGTTTGTTCTAAAGAAAAATCATTTAAAATGTATAGGGAACTTTTTCTTAAGTAGGTGTGATAATTAATAAAAAACAATTTATAAATAAGATTTGCTTGATCGCTGATGCAAACAAAGCAAATAGGCTACTTCACGGGTAATCAGTGCCGTTCAGTAGTGCGTTGGTGTGTATTTTCTGATGCAAAGTTATTTTTAACATTTGTTGAATAGTTAAAGAGGTACAAAACATTACTGAAAAAACTCAAAGAGAGAGAAATGAAAACTGTTTCGACCTAAAGTCTTCAACGGTTAAAAAAAATTGAATAATTACTTTACTAAACTCTTGCTATCTAGAAAATTAATTTTAAAAAAAACTACCGCTTTAATTTATTTTTATTGCAAAAAAAAAGGTTTTATATCCGGAAGGTGAAGATTTAGTACTTACACAGTTAAACTGGCAAACTTACCACTATCTGCGATAGTCCACAGAAACACCGCCACCATCACCAAAGCTGCAATACTCTTCATTTCTAAAAGTAAATCATTAAAGTGGAATCGGTATCACAATGTAAATTATTTAAACTAAATGTCATTAGAATTTTATATTCCTCCTAAATATATTTGAAAATTCGTAATTTTAATTTAAAAAAAAATAAAGTTATTATTTTCTAAATTTGTCAGTAAAGCTCAAATCATACTACATCCATATCAGTAAAAGCAACGTGGATTATGTAAATCTGTCTTAATTAGATCGGATATTTAGAGATAAGATGCAGAGGAATTTTTCTTGCCAAACTGTGTGGTCCATTCACAATCCAACAAGATTTTATTTTGCTAGACATGGACTACTTTAAATTAAGGCAACAAAAAGTTGACTAGACTAATGCAAGAAAATACTATTTAATTAGCTATTTTATTAAACATTATGAGGAGAGCGTTTGCCAGTTTTATTTAAGCAATACGAAAACAAAATGCACTTTATACCACAGAAAAAAATGTAATAAAAAAAATTCATAAAAAACGTTTTAATAACAAGCTTTTATGTAATGATGCACTAAAAAGTAGAAAATAAATTATAGACTACTATTTAAATAACTATAAAGAAAAGCGTGGGTCACTTTAGTATCTATTGGATACCTTTACTAATGTTAAGGAAGACACCCACGCTTTTCTTTATAGTTATTTAAATAGTAGTCTATAATTTATTTTCTACTTTTTAGTGCATCATTACATAAAAGCTTGTTATTAAAACGTTTTTTATGAATTTTTTTTCAGTACTTTACATGTTTTATCTACAATAGAGTTACATGACTAAAAACCATTGCGCGCCTACTGAATATCACGTTCAGTAGGCGCGCAATGGTTTTTTGAACGCAGCCATTACGTGGTCGTGATGGCGCAGCTATTGATGACGCGTGTGGTGTGGTTGGCTAGACATGCCTACTAATTCGGTCCAAATTTTAATTAATTCATAAAAAATCAATTAGGCATCCAATTAAGTCAAATTTAGTTTCAGATTGCATTGTCTTCATGTCTTGACCCACGTGCCAACTGTGAATCGTGTCGGTCAAGTAGAACTGTCCGAATTTTCACTCCTGCGTTTCCGTCAAGACAGACTTACGACAGACAGAGGAAGTGAGTTAAATAAAAGCTTGTAAAAATGTAAAAAATAAAGACAACTTTTTAAAAACAGAACTTAAATGTTTTGAAAATTGTGATAATATTCTCATCTTTGTATCACCCTTCATCTATCATAGTTATCTAGAGCTGTTTACTATTTCTCACCAAAAAAAGTAGTTCTTTAGTTCCTATACATAGACAGTTCTCTATTTCATTGACTAGCTACATACTTCCGATTCCTAAAGTAGAAATAATGATTTTAACTTTCAGTGTTTTCTTTAAAATTTTAAACTACTTACTACACTGAAGTTCAAGTTTCAAATAAAGATGTGCGACCCAACCTATTATTTATAAACCGCTTTACATATATTTTTTTTTACACTTAATCGTTTTAAATCATGACTCGTTTGCTCCATATTGATGAGTTAATGTAGATGTAGATTGATACCACGAATAGCCACACTTTATGGCATAAACAGTTTAAAATTATAGTGTCATTATTCCCTGGCTTCAAGGCAAATCTGTACAAGTTTATAAGGTATGATAAACGTATTATATGGGACACAAGCAACAGAGAGATCATTCGACAGATTTGCAGGTAAAGGGAAATAGCCTTAAGCCATACATACATACATTATATAAATATATATATATATATATATATATATATATATATATATATATATATATATATATATAAATATATATATATATATATATATATATATATATATATATATATATATATATATATATATATATATACTTTTATAGAACTATAAACATTGTGTCTAAGTGTATGTAGGAAGTGGATAGTGTTTTGTGTGTGCGTGTGTGAGTGTGGTTGCCACGAGAGCCTTCTTATCTGTATCTGTGTTGTTGTTAATGATTATGTACGTGAGTATGTGTGCATGTACGTGAGAGTGTACGTGCGTGCGTGTGTGTGTTTGTGTGTGGGTAGGACAAAACGGAACAAATCTAGCAGTATCAGTCTTCAAGTGTTCACATACATACACACAGACAAACACACACACCACTGGCTATCTCCATGGACCCCGTCTGACAACGTGACGCGAAACAACCCATAACTGTTCCTGTATTGACTGCAAGTATTTTAAAAATAAGTAATCTCAAACATACGTATGACAAAACGAAACAAATCCGGTCTTATAGCTGAAGACATAAAGATCAGCGCGATACTATCTATAAGTGTATATGGTAAAAAATTTCAAAATATCGCTAAATTATTCTTTTGGTTGTAGTACAATCATGCCATTTTATATATTCATGATACTTTTTTTTTTTCTAAGTGGGTGTGAGGGTGTCGAAAAGCACCACCAGTTGTGAGGGTGGGTTTTCGTGGTTATAAGCATGTGTCTATTTTTATACCGTAATGTATACTGTAACACACTTCTAGTCCGGGGATCGTGCCGTGTTAACGTCTTCTTTAGAATCGTAGCCTGGCACAGTTTAGTGAAATCCAACACAAGTCCAATTCAAGATACGAGCTGACCCGCGCCGTAAGCAAACGCCGAGATTTAGTTGTTTTATTTTCTACTTTTCAGTAATTCATAATTTGTGAATTCAACGCTAGGCCTACCTATGCTGCGACAGAAAATATTTTGCTGTAAAACACTATCAGTAGCTGGTGAAGGACGATTATGCCCTCCCTCCCTCCCTTTCCCCCCACTCCACCGCCCTCGCCACCGCCCCCAACACCCCGCCCGCGTGAAAGCAGTCGCCCGTGAAGACAGTTTACTGAAGTCAGACAAAGATCAAGCAGAACGTGTTATTACCTACGCTTAGTTTCAAATCGTTTAAAAACT